AGGCTTCAATTGAATCAGTTCAGAATAACAGATTTCTAGTCATAGTACTATCAGGCCATCATTAACATAATGTTTCTAAAGACTACATAAGAGTATAATAAATGTTTGTAATATGATGATGATACTAAATAGAAAAAATTTTATAAAATTATAAACGYACTATAAGTACAATTATAAAACAGATAAGAACAGTTATTTCATTGACTTTCCTTTCTTTATCTTGCCAAATTATTTTTTATTAATAGTGAAACAACAAATATTTTAACAAAAATAAACATTATACGTAAAAACATTGTTTATATTTTTCACCCTCTGTATGACCTTAATTGGGAATATAGTTGTTGCATATGTAAATAACCTTTATATTGAAGATTTTTATGTTCAAGTATTACAATTAACAAACTAAGTTAAAATATATAGTAGGACTTTTTAATTGAAAAAAGTTGCCTTGCCTATCATTGCTGAGTATAGTATTCAACAATGAAGACCTCAATAACAGTCTAATTTAAAAAATATTTATTTTCAGACATAGACTGCATTCATATAATCAGAAATACTTAATGAAATAAAACATTTATTTTTTTTCTTGATATTTCTGAACGGTCATGATTTTTACAAGACAAGCCTTAAAAGTGGAGATAGGACTCTATATTCAAAGTATTATATGACGGTGATTGTCATAATATATTTTTATAACTACAGAATGAAAAAACTGACCTATATATCAATCTTCCCTCTGATATATATATATATATATATATATATATATATATATATCAATTATAAGATGATTCTTACTATTAGAAAATTGGTTTTATATTTGGTAGGCACATTACAAATCACAATGCTTTACTCATCCTAAGTAAATTTCTAAATGTGTATTAAACGAATGAATACATAACCTCAGAGGAAAGTACTGTGTACATACTGTCACACACACTGCTTTCTGATCCAAATAAAGATTAGGGATCCTTTACTTTGATCTGAGATTGTCTCTCCTAATGATTTTGAGATTATAAGTCATTATTTTAAAAAGGGAAACCCTCAGTGGATAATTAGCAGTAATCAAGAGAAGTTTAAACATGCATGAAGGTGAAGTTGCAGCTGAGAATTATTGTAGGAAATAAATCTCGTGAGACAGGGTGAGGGCACATATCCTGCAGTAGATATGTTTTGAAAACCATTTCACTGGTGGATTTCTCTCAAGCCATTACTCTTGGACCAGGTTCCTAAGCCAAATGCTTGGTATGTTTTTTTTTTTTTTTTCTAAAAAGAATAGTCTGTACACTTTGAGGAATCATTCTGCCATTGAGCCTGTTAGGCTAACAGCTAATGAGTTTCTCACTTTTGAGTTTTTAAATGTCTCAGTGGAATCAGTCATTACAGTCGTTCCTACTTCTTTCTCTTCTTACCCAAATAGACACAGTCCATGAAGCAATACCAATAATAATTTCACATATGTAAGTAATTCAATCATTTTAGTTGGATTTTAAGAAACATAATCTTCCACAGTTTTGCAAAACCAAGAGGACCACCTTACAAAAGATACTGTTTATACAGTGAAGCCAAATCATCACCTGTTTCAAATGGTCCAGATTTTGTTGATCTATACAGAAATTTAGAGGTATTAACAGAATTATCCAGGGAGTTTAAGCCAATTAGAGTCTGTTCCTAGTCTCTGCACTGTAGGCAAATCTTCTAAGTTCCTTAAATACAAAGTGAAGGCACAAAGTGCTTAAGGGGAAGAAATTCAATAGAGAGAGACAACAATGCTAATACCAATAGATGTTTAAACTTGTTAATGAGACTAAAAAKCTTTCCTTGGCAATGAGTCATAGTTTGCCCCTTGTGAGTGATAGGACACCTAATTAAAAGATGACTTCTGACCAGGAGTGGTAGTGCATGCCTGTAATCCTAGCTAATTGGGAGGCTGAGGAAGAGGATCGAGTTCAAGACCAATCTGGGCAATTTAATGAGACTCCATCCCAAAATACAATTTTAAAAAAAGACTGGGGAGGTAGCTCAGTGGTAAAACTTTGTCTTACATGTTTGAGGCCCTAAATTCAATCCCCCAGTACTGCAACAAAAAGAAAAAGGAGATGACTTCCACCTAGAATATGATTTGTTAGAAATCTATAAAAAGCTAACAGTGAAAGAGGCCTACAAGTCCTCCAAAGATTTGTTTATGTATCTATTTTTAGGAGGAAAAATAAAAATCTCTTTAGAATTTGTATCAAAGGTTTTAGTCATTTTTAATCAAGCCATTTTCAGTTTCTAAGTAATAATAAATTATTTAATTATAAATAAATTAAGGAAAATGGGTTCATTCATTTAGGTTTAGTAGGAATTAAACAGAAAAATTAAAAATCTGTCCCAGAAATTTGGTAAAACAGTTTCCTGTGTGTTTTTACAAACACACACATGTATTAAACACACACGTGCACACACACACACAAACACATCATACACACATACAAAGAGGTGATGGATACATTGATTAACTTGATTTTGGTAATAATTTCATAATCCACACATAAATCATCACATTGTATAACCTAAGAATATATAATTTTTAGTTTTTAGTTGTACTTCAATAAAACTGGGGAAAACTATATATATATATATATATATATATATATATATATATATATGATATCTCAAATATGATCTATCAAATCTATGAGTCAAATAAAATACCCAGAGAAGCACCTGGAGGTAGGTAGTCATTTTATTTTCTTTTGTTGTTCCTTAACCATAAATAAATTCTCTTTTAATCAAATGTTATTGTTTTTATTTAAAAAAGACATTTATTGATATTTTCCAGGCGAGGTGTAATTTAATGATATGCTAACCCAGCAAGAGAATTTTGCTTATGAAAGATTAAAAACTTTACTTGCTTAGGTAAAATAAATTTAGATAATATATGTGGAATAATCAGTATCTTTAAATACAACCATATATGAAATGCATTAAAGTATATTTCCAGTGATTAATTCTATCAACCAAAGCACCCATTTTTATGGCTCATTATAATTTAAAAAGTTTGAAAATACTGTCACCAATTAAGTCTCAAAAATTAGCATTTTACAGATGTGGTAACTAAGGCAGAAAGACAGGTCTGACAAAGATCACTTGCRGGAAGAACAGAGTCGGGAACAGAAACCAAGGATTCTGGCCTTTCACAAAATGTGTTTTATGTTGACTGATTCTCTTTTGTAACCTGAACTGTAGTCACACCTTTCTTCCAATTGTTTGAGTCTGGATTTCAGTATATTAGTTTTCCTACTACCTTTAGTGTGTGAACGTGAATTCATGAATGGACAGAATTCTTGACATGTACACACTGTTATCTTTATAAGGTCAATAGACACTGAGGAGGAGATGACTAATTCACAGTTGCTTTTCTATCACTTATCAATTGTAAGCCTGTGATGGCCTCAACTTTTGAAWTAAATATGAGCTATACAAAAACTGTCACTAGATAATGTATTTGAAGTTCAACAGGGAAATAGAAATAGTCCAAAGTATCGAGAATATATTAATGTAAAATACTTCTAACTTTTTCTAGCAATTCTAAGACTAGTTACTCAAGTAGATTTCAATGGATATTTAAGATTACCACCAATTATTGTATATATAAACACACATATACATATTTTCTAAGGAAAAATAAAAACAAGCTGAAATAAATGATGACATAAATATGAAGTTTTTTAACATAGAAAGATAAATAAATAATTTTTTAGGAATAAAGTTCAACAATAACAAAATGCATTTTTATATCTTATGAGACTGATAAGATACTTTTCATGGTCCCTCTGCCATCTCAGAGTACAAGAAGCTAAAGTGTACACTGAACATGAATTTGCATTTAAATGTACTACAGGATCATTAAATGTCAGAAAAATTGATATTAAGTATCCACAGTATATGTAATCCCAAAGACTCTGTGGGATGTGGCGTTAAAACTGGCCTATGTGATTTCCTGGGCAGGTCCTCATAGGAGCACTGTGAGCATTTGACCTCAGGATGTAAGTCTCTGTCCCTCCAAAACTCAGAGAAAACCAAAACAAAAACAAAAACAAAAACAAAAACTATATACTATATACTATATAGAGAAGAAATTGTGAATATATCCATATAACTTTTAAAATATAATTTTATGCGGTCAACATGTAGTGTAGTCCTTATCATTTTAGTTCTAGGCCAAATGTTTTATCTTCATGGATTCTCAAAGCAAGAAAAAAATTACTTTGATTTTTAGGTTCCTATAAAACCAAGTAATCATATTCTGCCCATGAACTATCTATTAACCCTCACTGTTTTGAATTTAAAGAGACCTTTAAGTGTCCTGAATGAAAATGAAATAAGAATTAACACTGGAAGAAACTGGGGAGGATTATAAGATATTGTTTTTTTGTTTGTTTAATTAGCCCAAACTTCTGCAGAAAAAAATGCAATCTAAAATTACTTCAAATGTTTGTCAAACGTTAAAGTTTTGGGTTAAAGAAAACTATCCTTGTAGAAGAATTATATTTTTAAACAAAATGATAATTGATAGGTTATTTATCATCTCATATCAATTCCAAATTAGTAACATCAAAGTTCAATATGAAGTGATAATAATTTCAGCCTTGTAAATACCTCTAGCTTTATTACATTTTATGCAGTTGAATGCAACCACCATTTGTTCAGAAAGTATTTTCTGTAGGACAAATTACCTATTTATATTCAATCATTTATATTCTATTTTAAAGTAAACTTGTACCTTGTTCAGATGATCTTCATCACAAAATTAAGGTTTTATGTTTAAAGAGAGATATACTAAATAAGCATATTGTATAATAATTATCTTGAATAGTTTGCTTCATTTTCCTCTTGAGTAATTAGATTTTTACTATCAGAGTGTTGGACTTTGTTGAGTCCATCAAAATATTTGATCTTATTTCTCTTCAAAATCAATATTTATCAAGAAAAAGAAAAAACATAGTATCACTTACTTTGCTTTTGCTTCTGCATCCTCATATGCTTTATTAGAAACATCATCCAGCCCTCCAATCAAATGCTTGAAAGAGCTATAAGAGGAAAAACACAGTAATTAGGAAAAATACAAAGTAGTAAGGATAGAAACCTAGTCAATTGTAAGGTGAAACAATTAAGGGCATCTAAAGAAAAAAAATTCAAACACTTAACCTAATGCATCATTAATAAACATACCAGAGAGCAGATATTTTCCCCTGACTCTGATATAAACTTTATGAGATCAGAGACCTTTCCTACTTGATTCACCTCCATAGTCCCGAATACTTAACTGTATCTGGCTACATGTCTGGTAAAGATAGATATTCAAATAATGGAGTAGATTAAAATCTATTATACATTAATTTATATGCATCACAAAGTTAATAAGTCTTTTCATTATAATACTAAAACAACAACAAGATCTACCAACCACGGAGTGCTTACTATATGTCAGGTATTATAATTATCATTCACATTTATTAATTCAATTCTCAAGCTATAAAAGACAAACATCATTATCTAAACTTAAAATTAGTAAGCTGATCTTCAAAGGCAAAAAAATGTGTAGCTGATGGGAAAACAAACAGCAGGAGAGAATTATAGAAAAATCAACTCCTTTGAAAGAATGAAAAAAAATCACTTTAGTGTAAAGCAGGAGGTTTAATTTACTCAGTCTATCAATATCCTGCCATGTACCTAGAAATGTATTCAGACTTACTTTCTACAGTGAAGTCTCATCTATTATATGTTTAAAATATAACACTATAAAATAACGCAATGTAAGCATACACACAAATCATAATAGTCCTTGAAAAGCAAACAACAAGACACAGTAACTCTTAGGCAAACAACATTTTGGTAATGACTAGAACTTTCCTTTTGTGGATGAAGAAACAAAAAATGGAGACTTTACACAAAAATCTGGGACTTCACATGACAGTCAGAGCCCCACATACCAGGCACTGCCCAGTGTGCTTCATATGCAGTAACTAATAGTATACAAGGACCCACTGAGTTAGGATTATTTATCTCTCTTTTACTTTCATTTATCCCCATATTGTAAAGAAGGATACTGAAGTACAACAGGTTGAGAAACTAGCCCAGAGTCACACAGCCAGCAAATGGGAAGATTAAATGGCAGAAGGTGATCATTCGCCTTCCTACTATTCAAACTTACATTGTACTATCCAAATCACTATGCTTGGAAGCTAATTGTGAAATTTCTAATAATATCTGGGCTCTGGGTGGAGAGTTTTGAAGTGGTATAAGAATCACATTTTGATTTTAAATCTCTACTTTTTTTTTCATTGCTGGGGATCAAACTCAGGGCCTCTTGGTTGTTAGACGAGTGCTCTACCACTGAGCTGCACCGTAGCCCTTGTACAATCTAAAATATGTAAATGACTTTTTGTGTTGTAATCATTAAACATTAAGTTATGCATTGTCAGGTCCTGAAATATCTTAGAAGATTTATTGACTTGAATTTAAAAGTTACTTAATTACTTTCATATATAAGTTGTTTGGAAAAACTGTAAAGTAGAACACGACACTGTGCCTGGGAGCTGGCTTCAAGAGGATGGAATAGCTATTATCTCAGACCCTTGGGTAATGATCTCATCTGGGAGGCAGAGTAATTAGAAGGTTGCACTAAATGCAATATCTCTACACAAGAGAAAATTATAGACAAAGGCCTATGGAATCAAGAATCTTATTCAAAAATATGAAGTCTTCTGTAATCAACTGCATTAATTCATACTGAGTGAATGTTGAATGGTTAAAGGCAGTAGTTCTTACAAAAATTTTTAAAATGATATAAATAATAAAATGATTAATAAAATCCTCATGGTTGAGGAAAATTTTTGAATATGACTTGTGCCATTATTCTTTTTTTATATGATAAATTTTCTCAAGTTACCATAGAATGCTTTGTTCCTTGCCAAAACTTGGAAAAAGGCTGGTTTTCAAGAAACTCTTTAGGGTTAGATGAGTTTATAATGTAAAGTTTAAAATTCATTTTGCCATGCAAATAGATAATATTTGGCTAATTTTCTGTTTTCATAGATAAAAAACAATTTAATCATAGAGTTGAAATTACTTGTCCAAGATGATTGTAATTTATCAGGATTCTAATCAGTATTCCATATTACCCATTCCCGTTCTTTATAATACCAAATCTAAAACATTGTAAGAACATACTGACAAAGGAGTCAAAGAAAAATCTGTAAGAAAACCAAAGAATAATGACCATTAAAACTTGGCTTGTCCATTATATACATTAAGAGAGCATGATCTTAGATAATTAAGCTCAGAGTAATTCTGAGAACTCATTTTTTAAAAAAAAAATTTGTCTTCCTCCTTGTCTTTATTTGAGATGAAGATGTTTTAATCAGGATATTACATTACCAAAGAATTAAAGAGTAATCTGATAAAAATATATTCATTCTTGTTAAATGTATTAACATAAGAAATTCTGTTCTGTTCATTACACTAGATTAAAACTCCTCAGATAGCTTTTTGAAAAATCTAGTTTGAAATCCTATCAGCAAAGTTAAAAGGAGAAAAGCATTTATATGGCAGTTCTGTAGTGAGCTGTAAAAGTAGAAAGCATCTAATTGTACTAATGATTTGGAAAATAGTTTATCCATTTTTTAAAATTAGTAATATTCAATGACAAACATCACATTTAAAAAGAATGAAAAAATGAGTATCTGAASTATGATTTTTTTGTTTTCTTAAATGTCCTTAATTTAAACCATTAATTTTTACATAGTTATCTTAATCCAAAATTTATTATTTTTACTACTAGAAAAAAAAGAAAAAACAAAATGATATGTGTCCACAAAAGCCTGTGTCATTTGTGAAATAAATTCCCTCTAACTTTCATTTAAAACATAATAGATTTTTTTTGTACTATGGGAAATATAGAAAAAACTGAAAGAAGAAATTAAAAGATTACACACAGTTATTTAATTACAAATAACAAGKGGGAACTTTTTTTCTTTTATTTTTGACTTCTTTCTATGCATAGCTTTGCTGTAATTAGAAAGTAGTTATGATTCAATCTCCTAATTCTTAACTAATATTATAGCCTAAGTATTTTTCTTAAGTAATATTTGAGCAGATGACAAATAGGCCACTGTATGTACGTACGTGTATCAGAATACCCACTGATGCATGTATATACATCTACTAACACATACACTCACATACACACATGTATTCAGATGAAGGAGGGGGTATGGTATGGTAACTATATATACAACCACAAATATTTGTATTCTAGATTATAGATTATACATATGGAATTTCTTTTCAAAACAAACCTGGACTATAATTTTGGCTTTTGATATTAGAATCGTGTCTTTTGTAAATGATTTTTATTTAGGAGACCATTCCAACCAAAAAAATATAACATTTTTTGAAATATTAAAATATGACTCCTGGATAATATTCTAAATCTATCCAAACAATAAATCAAACATTATACAGTGTAGAATTTTCAAGCAACATTAAAATTCCAAATGAAAGGCATTGTCTATCTCTATACTGGTCATTGAGTAATTTAAGACATCTTGATAAGTATAATTGATGATGTTACAGAATTTATCCTTCTTGCCACAGATATGAAGAAATTAGCATTGCATTTTTCCCTTTCACAGATGTTCTGTAGAAACACCTGCCATCTGTATGGACTCTCATTACACAGATATTTATAAAAGAATTGCTCTAGTTATCAGATGCCTTTCTAATTATTTACTTAGGTCCTGTGATTTTTTTTTTTTTTTTTTTTGGTACTGGGGATTGAATCCAGGTGTGCTTAACCACTGAGCAACATACCCATCTCTTTTTATTATTTATTTTGGGTCAGGGTCTCTCTAAGTTGCTTAGGGCCTCACTGAGTTACTAAGGCTGGCCTTGAATTTATGATCCTCGTTCCTTAGGTTCCTGAGTTGTTGGGATTACAGGTTTGTACCATCATGCCAGACTACATTATGACATTTCTTGACTAATAAAGGGAGAAGACTTTTGTTGTCATTGCTGCATTCTGAAAGAGATTATAAGATGTTTTGACAACCTTATGAACTGAATAAGTGGACCACAAAATGTTATTTACCCATTATAACAGGTATAGATTACTACAAGTAAATCATCATATTCAGTTTCTAAATTCACCAAAATTATACAATTTATATTTTAAGCCTTATGAAATAAAATAGACATATTCATAAATACTCTGGACTTAATTTCATAAAAAAAGTTAAGGATACATAATGAAGTGAAATATTTTAATTTAGGGAATCTCAAAGTTTGCATCTCAATGAAAGCAAACTTTCATTATGTACCTACTATTGCTTGTGGGGACTGTCTCCTGTTTATTTTCTTAAGGTGGGAAATCTAGTTTCAACAAGTCTCAACAGAATTATTTAAGGCAATGGATAAAATATTATCAGAAGTCCCTTTTATGTTTAATGTCAGTAGTTTAAATAAACTTGCAAGGTGGGGAGGGAAAGGAAAGAATGAAGGGAAGAAAGAGGGAGAAAAGGATAAAGGAAAGAAAGTAGGATGAATAAAGGAAGGAAGAAAAGAAGGAAGAAAGGAAGGAAAGGAGAGGGGAGGGAGGAGAAATGAGGACACTTTCACATCAAGAATGATGACATTTATAGAAATATTCCTTCAGGAATATCAGTTAAAAGGCTTCTTTTCATTCTAGGAAATCTGTTTTAGAACATTATAGTGGCAGTAGCTCAGTGGGTAATAATTTCAGTTATTAAGATGTTTTCATTATTAAGCCAAAACATCCATCTGAAGGGAGCTGATTACTCAGTGGTATATCTAGAACGTGTATAATTTTGTTCTTCAGCAGTTGTGATATGATAAGACTTCATCTAGAGAGAAATGGGCTTTTAAATTACTAGAAAGGCAGTGTAAATAAAATGAGAGCATTTATATTTTACTTTTTGCTTACAAAGCACTTTTATATTCTTAAGCCACATATGCATTCATATATCTATATTCATAGTTGATTTAAATAGTTGATTTAATCTTTATGCTT